CTCACAGCGCACGGTAAATGAGGCCCAGCTCCCTGCAGGAAACTCGGGCTCTGGGGAAGGGGCTGGCAGGGTCTCTGGCTGGGAACTTGCTGTCTGAGCACACGCGATCTCCAAAGCCGCCTGCTCAGATGCGCCGTGTTCTGCTTCTGGCCGTTCACACCCTTCCACGTCCCGCCCAGGGTGCCGTCCCCAAGGGGACGTGTGCCCCAGCCACCGATATTCCCCAAAGCACTGGACGACGAAGCGCCCTCCCACCGAGGCTAGGTCGGCCCTCAGCTTTGGGCATCCAGGAGGGAATGAATGAGCTCTGCTACCCCAGAGTCCCTGACCTGCAACCAAGATTCTTCCAGAACTTTCCATCAGTTCTCTAAGCTGCCAGACAAGGAAGTTTGAAAGCAGAGGGGCCACTGGGGTGCGGGGAAGAGGGTGGCAGGGCCGGGGGCCAAGCCTCACGGATCTCAGTCACTCCCCAGGGCAGCTCGGGGCCTCCCTCGGGGGCTCCCCTGCCCGTGCAGCCCCATGTCCTCCCCAGTCCGCAGGGCCTTTGCACAAACTGCCTCCACGCCCACTGGGAACAGCCATGGTGGCCTCAGGTGCCCACGACCCGCATCTGCACCCCTGCCTCCCACATCCAACCAAGACAAGCACAGAACCGTGTGCAGGGCACGCAGGACAGCTCGGGGGCGGGTGTCCCGTCGCGGACACTCGGGTCCCTGTGCCGAAGGACCAGCTTCTGACGTTTCCTAGCGCGCGTCAGTGCTGCACGTTCAGCGGCAACAAGTGACTCGGCAAACGAAACCAACATGAAATACCGTCCTTTGCTGTCGCGTTCGACGGGCGCCCCATTCCTCAGTCCCGCGCCACCGTGGGTTCTCGCGACGACTCCCGGTTCGGGGCCTTACGTCCCACGGACCCGTAACCAGCAGCGCGCAGCCCGGCCAGCCCCACCGCCAGCAGCCCTGCACCCCCGTTCCCAGGGCAGCCCCGCACACCTACCCTCATGCCCAGCTCGATGTTCTCTCCACCATACACCTCCATGCCCGGGTCCAGCAGGCCGATGTCCCCAAAGTACTCCCGGTCCACCACGAACGAGCAGCCAATCATGGCGGGGGTCCTGGTGGGGAGCACAGACGGCACGTGAGCAGGTCACAGGTGCGTAATCCTGAGCCCCTGGCTGCCGGCAGCCAGGAGGGCCCAGGACACGGGCAGGCCCCCCACGGGGTTGTCTTTGCATCCTTCAGAGCCTAGTGAAGCGCCCGGCACAGACCAAATCCAAACGCTAATTGAAGAACATCAACGGGTGACAGAAACCAGCAGTCACCTCAGGCAAGTTAGTGCAGGAAATTTTAAAGAAACCAGTTTTCTCAGTGAGTTGTCTGGTCACCTAAACGTCCCCAGGCTTGAGTCACTTGCCTGTCTCCTTCATCATGTTGTCCTACCTGTACACTAGGAGTCGGGGCTGCAACAGGCAGTTGCCTAGGTTGTGCACTGCTCCACTCGATGGACCCTCACTGATATCAGACTCTCTCTAAATGACATACCTTGAAGTTGTAGAGTGCGCAACCTGTGCAGCTGTAGGCCACAGACTGCCATCTGTTCCATTATTTCTGTAATTACTTACACCTACACGTTCAAAAAAACGTCAGTAAACGTTGCCTCGTCTTAAGAAACTGTGTCTGTGAAATCATGCGTCTATGTGCTAGCTGTATTTTTTCTACCCACAACAGTGGGTCCCTGGGAAGTGGCCTCACAGGTCACAATGACACAAAGCCGTGGCGAGTAAGAGGACAGCGTCACTGTGGACAGTATCACACGTTCGGTTCTTCACGCACGCACCATTCATTCCTTCGTTCAGTCGTGAACTTAGGACCCAGTGTGTGTGTTCTAGGTGGAGAGGATAGAAAGAGAAACAGAAAACGTATCTGTAACAAGAAGCAGGTCCAGATGCTGTTAGAAACCAAGACCTTTTAAGCTTCTGATGAGGGATTTGGTCTCAGACAAAGACAAGCACGGTCTGCTTGCAGGCTGAGCGACTGGAGCCTTCTGAGCCCTAAGCGGAGCCAGCAAAGGGTTCCGGTTGTCCTCGAAGGGCCCCAGGCTGCTCTGGAGCCGGGGTGGGGCCGCCCCGTCCCTGCTGTTCCTGCAGGAGCACATCCCTCTTCGGCAAAAACAACACCAAAACTTGGTCTCGGTCAGAATTTAAAAGAAGCACTTCTGCTCAGTGACTGGGAAGCCCGGAGCCAATGCCCGTCAGTCGTCCCAGAATAACAGGGGCATTAAAGAAACGATTGTCCTTTGATTTATGCAAACATTCAATTTGTCCTGTCGTTAGATTTTGGTCACAAATCTAACGGCAACGAAATTTTAATGCCGCCTTTGGCTTTTAATAGCAAGCGTGTGACGGGCTGCGCTCACCGATGTGCAGAGTCATTTCTCCCGGTTTCTCAACAGCCGTGGAAAAGCTCAGGGCGCTCTCTGGTGAATCAAAGCGCCAAATTCCCTGCCAAGTCTATTATAGCCGGCAACGATTTGTTATCCTTGCTCAGAGTTCCAAAATAGACTTAAGATAGACTCACAAGGTGACGGGAGCAGAATCCGTGGGCGTGGGGTTTACCCGCGCGCGAGATTCTGCTGTGATTACGGAACGTGGCAAGGCTCAGGATGTTCCGGCTGAGGGGCTCCCGGGTTTCGGGGGACGTCGTGGGGCATCCTCGCATCGGGGTCGTCCTGTGGCGCACGCGGTCGTGCCCAGGGACTCCCCCGGGAGAGGTAACAGACATACAGGTGCACACGTCTGCAGCAGACACACGGACACACACGGACATCCACGCCCCTGAGCCGTGAAACTCTGGAGCCCCAGACAAGGGGGGGGGGCTGATACAATGGGGATCCCAATGCGCCCTCTGGCCTCCAGGAGACCGACAAGGGTCAAGGCGAGCCAGCGTGCCCCGGCACCTTGAAAAGCACCTGCTCACGGGCTCGGCCAGGCAACGAGCACCCGTCGCGCCGGGCACACGCTCGCCGAGCGAGCACGGGCACCTGGGAAGTGCGCCACGGGCTGCGACTGGGCAGCGGGCGCGCGGGGAGCCACTGTGCACGCATCTGCCACTGAGGGCAGGCAACGTGACGCTGGGCGGTCTGTGGGGACACTGGACGCTGTGCCCTGAATCGGCGCTCTCGGAAGAGTCTGAGGCAACGGCTAGAGCGCCAGAGATGCCCACGCGCTCCGAGAGGCGGTGGGGGGCAGCGGGGATGGCACAGGAGTGTGCAGCGAGCGCCCAGCCCGGCTCGGAGCCGCCGGCCGTGTGGCCTCAGGCCCGCTGCCCACTGCCCCGTGCTCAGCCTCTCTGCCCGCGCCCCTGCGGAACCCGATCCGCACGAAGCCGTGTCGCGGCAGAAAGGAGCTCGGCCTGGAGGCCGTCAGCCTGGGGGCTGGAGTGGGCTCGGGGGACGGGATGGGACCCAGTGACCGAGCCTGTGGCCGTGGGGAGCACCCAGCACCCCGGAAGCTCCTCTCCGGAGACCAGCAGAAAAGTCAGACAGGGAACGGCTACCGTTCCTCCCGTGTAGCTAGAGAAGCGACCACACGTGTGCGGTGACGTGCATCTGTGTGTGTCTGCACACTTACGCATGTGTGCGTCTATGGGCACTCGTGCCAGTGAGAATGTGTGCACAGGTGTGCGTGTGAGTGTGCAAGCATCTGTACACTCCCGTGGCTGCGTGGTTTTGTGTGCACAGGTGTGTGTGCATATGGATGTGTGTGCCGGTGTGTGTGCAGCTGCGTGTGCATGTCGGGGTGTGCATGCACGGAGGGGGTATGTGTGTGTGTGTCCTGTGCAGGTGTGTGTATACTGTGTGCGTGCAGGTATGTGTGTGTGCAGCCGGGAGCGCATACCTGTGTGCTGGTGTGTGTGTGTGTGTGTGTAAGTGTGTGTGAGACTATGCTTGTGTGTGTGTGAGGGATTCGGGCCCTTGCCGCCGCACCCCTGACTGTGGGAGGGGCAGGGGGCTACGAGTGGCCCCCCCCAGCCCCGCCCTAAGCTCCCTCCACGAGCTGGAAGCCAGCCGACACCCGCAGGGCCCTCGCCGTCCCCCAGACACACGGGTGGGACTCTGGACGGGTCCTGGGGATGGGAGGCCCCGCCCCGTGCAGGGGTGCAGGAGCGCAGGGGCTCAGGGCCTGGGACGCGGGCGGGCTCCAGCACCGGGGCGTGTGCACAAGTCTCCCCCAGAAACCCAAGCCTTACAATTTCCATCCCTTCTTCTCTCTCCCTCGAGCTTCGAGGGTGAGGAGCGGCAAGAAAATTCCTAAAGTAAACCCTCCAACACCAGCCCCTCGGGCGCGGAGTAAATTCCCGGCACGGCTTTCGACGTGGACGTGCGAGCTGTGTGCTTCGGAGGGGCAGTGGCTCTTCTGGCCAGGACGCGGGAGGCGACAGACCAGCCCGGACCGGCCGCCAGGCCCGTGGAAGCCAGCTCTCCGGTCCGGTCCGCGGCGAGGAGCGCCTCCCGCAGGCAGCCGGCCGTGCGCGCTTCCCCCGGAGGGCCTGCCAAGCGGGAGGGCCCGAGGGCGTCCTCCCGGTGGGGACCGGGACGAGGCACGAAGGACCTCGAGGCTGCTCGCCTGCACTCCGCGCCTGCGGGCCACGAGGTTCCGTGTCCGCGTGCGCCCTCCTTCCGTGAATCTGTACTCCAGTGCGTGAGGCCAGTCGTTCCAGAACCCGGGGGACCCGCCCAACCCTCCGTCACCGGCCTGAGCCAAAGGCCCTGGCCCCTGACCTCCAGAGAACATCACCCCGAGTCCCCAGTTCAGGGCCGCTGTCCAGCACCCCCGGGAAGCCGGTCATCTCTCCTCTCCTGACGGCGCCTCCCTGGACGGTCCTGTGAGCCGCGTCACACAGCGTGGCCGCTTCCGTGTCCAGCGTCTCTGGCCCCGCCCAGGGGCCTGAAGTCCCACGGTGCCGTCACTCGTAGGACAGCTTGTCCCGTTCACTCCGGGACACGTTCCGGCAGCTGGGCAGATGCCAGCGGGTTTACCTGTGACACCTGATGACACCTGGGGCGTTTCCGTCCCTGAGAACGATGGGGCGGCTGTATGCGTCCGCGAGAGTCTCTGCGTGGACACGGGCTCTGGTTCCTTCCCGGCGGACGGCGAGACGTGCGTGCTTTCTACCTTTGTGGAAAACCGCCGACGGCCTTCCGAGCTTTGGCCAACGCGCTCTGCCTGCAGCCTCGCATGGGTGTCCCGCGGGCCCCGCGCCCTCCCCCGCGCCCAGCTGGCGCCTCTTCTCACTCCGGTTCCTCGGCTTCCCTCCTGACCCCCCGACGGGGTGAGCATGCTGGCCACACCCGCCTCCACTTGTGGAGAATCTGTTTAAAGCTCCACCTGGAGTTTGACCTCGGGCGTCCAAAGCTCTCAGGTGATGCTAGGCAGGAGCCAAGTTCGACAAGACACCGTCTGGCCAGAAAATCCCGCTTCTGGGCAGCCCAGGGGGTCCAGGGGCTGCCAGACCTTGGGGTCTCTGAGTCCCGAAATGCGAAATGCTAGGCCCCTCTTCTGCTCCTAGCCGGGGAACGCCTAGTGTGCTGTGAATGAAGAAAAGTAACTTTCAATCCGCTCTTCCTGGCTCCCGGCCGGTCGGTCGGCTTCTGGACGCAGATGGCCCTGGGCCCGGTTTTGACGGCAAAGGCTCCAGAGCCCCGGCTCCTGCTCCTTCCAGCTCCCAGGAGCGTCGAGGGCCTGTCTCTGAGAAGCAGCCGTGGGGACTGCTGCTCCGCATCCGGGGACCCCTTGTACGGGGCGGGGCGCCCCTCCGTGCTGGCGGCAAGTCAGGGAGGTCGGGGCTCGGGCTGAGCTGTCCATCCCTGGTGTCCGCTGACTTCACTGCTGGACGTCCAGGCCGCGCGGGGGCCTGACTTAGCGCCTGTGGCTCTTCGCCAGCAGGGGGTGGGGGCCCGGAAGCCCCCACAAGACCCTCCCGAGGGAGACAGAGCTTCCGAAGGCACAAGGACACGTGGTCTCGGCCACTTCCACGCACAGTGACCCGTTTCAGCAGGATTTCGGCAGGGACGCACCAGCTTGGACAGACAGGAAGAGGGACGGTTCCCAGCCCCTGAAACCTCAGACCCCCGTGGGAGGTCTGCAGAGGCTCCGGGGGGTCAGCGGGTCCTGAGATGGACACTCGTCCCAGGAAACAGGCCCCACGGCTGCGTCCCCAGGACCTGGTCACGGAGCGCAGATTCCCAGGGGCTCAGCACCCCGCGGCTGATGCTGCAAACATGAGCCAGCGCGAGCAGGTGGCGGAGGGCCTAGGGGTGATGGGGAGCGAGGGACTGGGGCCTCTGGAGGCCCACGCCTGTCTACACGGGGCCCCATCCCGGCCGCGGCCAATGGTCGCCTCGCGAGAGTGTGAGCCTGCCCCCTGCCCAAAGGTGCTGGATTTGTGTATCTCGTGCAAAAATCTCTCCGCCTTCACATCTGGGAGCCGACCTGAATACTACGTGCACGCATTTGAGGACAACCGTGGGCTCTCCGTCTGAAGCCCTGTCTGCAGAAACCGGTGACTTCTGCGCAGCCACGCTGCCCGGCTCCTCCTGTCCCCCTCCAGGCTTCTCGGTCCCTGGTGCCCCGTCCCCTGTCCGTGTCCGCTTCTCCCCCACGGGCTCCTCCTCTCTGCTCGTCTGCTCGGTCTCCCTCCTTTCTGCCCCCACCTGACCCGGTCGCCACTCAGGCCACATGCGGGGGGTCAGCCCCCAGGCCCCCGAGTCCCGCCCAGAGCACCTGCCCCCGGCAGCCCCCGCACCCACCGCATCCCGGCCCCGGCTCACCTGATGGGCGCCGCCTCGTCGCCGCGGTCCAGCCAGTCCTGGGGGGGGATGATGTACATGCACCAGAGGCCCCAGGTGTAGCCGTGGGCCGCGCTGGCATACTGCTGTACCTCGAACGTGTCGTACTTGATGTTGTCGATGGCGGGCAGGACGATGCGCCGGCGGTCCTCCTGGATCCGCGTGAGCGCGGGCTCGGCCCTGGGGGGGGGAGCCACGCGCCTGTGAGGAGGGGCGTGGGGGCGGGGACCCCCACCCTGTGCCCCAACGAGGGGCCCGGCGCCCACAGGCAGGGTGACATCAGGTGACCGCCGGCCCACGGAGTGCAGGTGCCACGGATTCCCCACCACAAGACTGGGGGTGGTGGGGCCGCGGACGTGCCCCGCCGGGGGCCCTGCCCTCCCCTTCCCGGGCTGCCCACAGCCAAGGACTGACACCAAGGACATAAAAACCACTTGGGCCCGGGATGCGACCCCCCTGAAGGGCAGGCCTGGCTCCAGAGCCCCTGCAGGTCGGCTGGGGCCGGCCACCGGCCAGCCTTGAAGCTCAGCCACTCCCTCCACAGAACCCCACTCCCCGCCCTCCTTCCCTGCTCTTGTGGAAGATACATTTGCTCACAAACATGAACTGCAGGACCGAGTAAGGGCCGTACCCTGTTCTAACAACAGAATACATTCATAGGCTTAAAAATCAATCCACGCCTCGGGGAACTTATGTTGGAGGGGACCAGAGAGGTTACCGGGTGCTTTAATGCAGTGCACAACCCACACAACAGCATGGGGCAGCCCCGACGGGGTCGGGGGCCAAGCATCAACATAGAAGTTAACGTATGTTAGAAGGTGACAGGTATCGCGTGGGAAGGACAGCAAGGCAAGGGTAACTTGGAGTCGCAGTTTTAAATAGGCGTCTGCGTAGGCTGCCCTGGGCAATGACCAGAAGGAGGTGGGCGGCCGGTGGGTGCCAGGGGGATGGGCGGGGGCACAGCCAGCACGGGAGCCCTGGGACGTGCGCCTGGGGAGCAGGCGGGTGGCTGGACTGGAGAAGTGGGGGCAGCTTATGTGGCGAACCCAGAGACGGGGCACCGGGGGCGCTCGGGCGACCTCTCTGGGCAGCAGACTCTGCAGGGATCCCCGCGGGAGCAGGCTTCCCCCGCGGAGGTGGCCCGTCCCTGCGAGGATGAGACGCCACCAGAGCCCAGCCTCTGGGCCGGAGTCCAGCTGTGGTCGTGGGCCGCCTGCTGCTGGGGGGCCGGGGCTGGCGCCGTCGGGTGGGACAGGAGGGCCCCGGGGTGAGTCGTCTGGTCCCGCCCGGTGACAGGTGCCGTGTGGCCTTCCTCCCACCCTTCTGATCAAGAGCCGGGTATTCGGCTGCCTTTCGGCTTTGCGAGGAGGACTAACTGATTAGTGTCAGCGAAGTGCCCCAGAGAAGCAAAGCCCTCTGCAAATGTCACGTCTGCTAACAAGGCAGGATCTGTGTGGAGGCGACCGCGGCGGGGAGGGCGGGCGGGGGGGGGGGACTATTTGCAGATGGATAGCTGGGTTTTGGGTTGTGGAAATTAAAGTCACGCTGGTTTAAAGTCGCGTCTGATGCGACAGCTCCTGGCTCTCCCAAATGGCTCCTTGGGGGAGCCTGCGATGTAGCGGAGGGGGGAATGGCCACCGAGGACGGCTGTGCAGTGCACAACCCACACAGCACTGGGGAGCGGGCCTCGGTCGGGGGGGGGGGGGACGATAATCCGTAATTAACGGCAGAAGGTGATTACGCGTGGTGGGAGGAGGGCTGTCTCACGAGGGTGGGAGAGCAGAGGGACGCGGGGCCAGGAGGCTAAGTCCAGCAGAAGCGACTTACGTCTCCGTGAAACGCGCGCAGGGTCAGAACCAACCCTTGCCACACACGCGCGGTCCTGGGGCAGCTGGGATGCTCCCGGAGAGGGGAAGGAAGAAGGTTCCACGGCCCGCGGGACGCCGAGCCCCTGCTGGAGCCGGCTGCTGCTGGCAGGAAAGCACAAGCTCGGAGACCCCGGGGCGCGAGGCTCTCCCAGACAGCTGGGGCCCCGGGGAGCACGCACAGCAGGGCTCGTGCAGCTGAACCGCACAGGCTCAGGACTTCATCCACCCCGCCGTCTTCGGTCGGCACATCCCCCCGTCTCCCTCCCGTGGGACCCCGGCGAATGTCTTACGTTGGCTTCGCGAAGCTTAAAAATACGCATTGGGAGGTTTGATATAAAAATCGTGAGTTTTACGGGGCGTCTGGGTGGCTCAGTCAGCAAAGCGTCCGACTCTTGATTTTGGCCCAGGTCATGATCTCACGGCTCACGAGCTCGAGCCCCACGTCGGGCTCTGTGCTGAGAGCTCAGAGCCTTCTTGGGATTCTCTCTCTCCCTCGCTCTCTGCCCCTCGCCTGCTCACGTGCGTGCTCTGTCTCTCTCTCTCTCTCTCACACACAAAATAAATAAATAAAATAAACTTAAAAAAGAATCCTGAGTTTTACTTTTTATTGAAATGGGCACGCTGGCCACCCTGGGGGGAATTTTCCCTGCGGCTCAGCCCCCCCCCTCCCCCCCCCCCCCCCCCCGGGCTCACTGAAGGACCCACCCGCTACGGTTTAACCTAAGGGTCTTGAGAGCAGAGCATCCTGCATGACAAGGGTAGCCCTAAATCCAACGACAGGGGCCCGCCTGTGAGACAGAATAGAGACACATGCTAGGTGTGAGGACAGAAGAGGCCAGAGGACGAGGCGGGACCCTCCCCGGGTGCCTCCTGGCAGTGAGACACCTTGTGTCCCAGGATTTGGAGTCGTGTCTGCTGTTTGAGCTGCCTGGGGGGTTGCGGTCACTGTTCGGCAGCCCCAGGACACTGACACTTGGGGTCGGCCCTCCCTCTGCCTGTGGGCCACTCCCGACACACACGCTCCGTTGTCTAGAGCGTCCCCTCGCCTCCCAGGCAAGCACCCATCTGCTCCGGAGGGTCTGGAGTCCATTGCCCGCAGCGGCTTCTGCAGTCCGGGCAACAATCCCCGCACCCCGGCCGTGCTCCCGGCTCCCGGCTTGAGGACCAGGAGACAGGCACGCCTCCCCTGCCCCCGCCCCGCCCACGCCGTGTTGGCAAGCCTCACTTCTGACCCTGACTCTTGTTCCCTGACCTAGAACATTCCCCCTCTCCCAGCTACCATAAGGTCCTCGCTCATCTGCACAGGGCCCAGCCGCCAGATGAGAAGTTAACAGCCGGCACTTTCCAGAAAACTCTCAAGCACTTCCTGCTGCTCGGCCAAGACACCCACTGTGAGGACGTTGGTGCACCACCTGCCTCGAGTCGGCGAGGTCTGGGCCACCCCCGGCTCCCTCCTGGCTGTGGATAATTCGCGGGACAACTGACGCCATTCCTAAGGCATCGGTGGCCGCCTCAGAGATGGAGAAGGTGTCAGGGGGCCCAGGCTCCACGCCCGGCTCGCCCGGGGACCCCTGGGTCGCACCCGAACACCCTAGGCCACGCAGACCTGCACTTCGTGCAGCTGGCCCGGAGGCCACGCTGAGCATCAGGCCTGCAGGGCAAGCACAGGCCCAGGGCCAGAGCCGGGCCGTCCCGCCGGGGTGCGGGGTGGAGGTCACACGTCTAAGTCCCTCCCTGGCCGAGTCCCCTGCAGGTGTCTGGGTTAGAGGCCCATTTCACCCCCTGCATGGTGACGAGAGGGTCCCACGGGGGATGAGAAACTGCTCCCAACTCGCGCCCGGTGCCTTGGGCAGCTAGCCTTGGACAGCACGTGCCCACAGCAAGTGCCCCAAAGCCGTGTGTGCTCCCGGATCCGAGCCCACACCGGCGTGCTCGTGCTATGCCACCCTGCTGGCCAGTCCCAGTCCCTTTGGGAGCGAGGTGAGGGCACGCGACGGTCCTCACGTGCAAGCGTCCCGAGCCGTGCGCCCCACAGATCCCCTGGGCCGCATCCGGATGCTGGGGGCCCCCAGGCTCATCCTCCCGGGCTCCTGAAGGGAGTCCCTATAGCCAGCGCCCCCCTGCGCCCTGCCCTCACCAGCCCGTGCCGAACTCCACGTGGGCGTCGAAGAAGCCGACCACGGGGGCCGTGGCCGCCTTCCAGCCCTGCAGCCGTGCCCGGATCAAGCCTTCCCGCCGGCTGTTGCGAACGATCTTCACCAGGCCCGGGTACCTCCTGTTGACATACTGGTCCAGACTGGTCTTGAGCTCCACTGCAGGGACACAGAGACGCCTCATCGCACCCACACCTCGGGAGGGGTCTGAGATCGCCCCGGGTCGGCGGGGGCAGGCTGGGCTGCTGCGAGCCCCGGGCCCGTGGTTCGCTGCCATCGAAGAAGGCCTGCCGTAGCGGGTTGTGACTCAAGGGGCTGGGGAGACCGCAGAGCCGCGAGACCCCAACCCATGTGGCTGGCACTCCAGCAGGGGGACAATAAACAGAAGACGGCGAAACGGGACTGACTAGACAGAGGCGTGTGTCACCGGGACGGGAGGAAACAGGACCGATTCACTCAGCTGTGAGAGGGAGGAAGTCCACAGATGGATGGATGGGGGATCACGGTGTGGTCACCCACACCGTGGAATATTCAGCCGCAGCCAGAGAGAAATCCTGACCCCTGCCACGACACGCATGAACCCCCAAGGACATGACACTCAGTGAAATAAGCCAGACAGAAACGGACAAACACTGCGTGACCCCACTTCTCCAAGGCCTCCAGGGTCGCCACATTCATAGAGGCAGAGGGTGGGGTGGGGGTGCCAGGGGTGGGGGGAGTGGAGGGGGTGAGTGTTCGGTGGGGACAGGGCTCCAGGGTGGGAGACGGAACGTTCTGGAGACAGATGGTGGGGAAGGCTGCACAACAGTGTGGGTGTGCTTCCTGCCCCTGAGCTGCACACTTGCTGTTTAGACGGTTAATTTTATGCTATGAGAGCTTCAGATCGATACATTATTAAAAAATTGATGAAGGCGCGGACAAAAAACAGGAATCGACTTGAGGAAACTCCCAAAGGTAACAACCTGCAGCAGGTTAGGGCCTCTAGGGGAAGAGAAGGTTGGCTGCGGCTGGGCAGGGGCCACCCCCCACGCCTGGGCCCCGAAGACACCTGTCCCCCGTGTCACCGACCCTACGGGACCCCCCAGGGAGGACAGCCGGTCCTTCCCACCCCATCCTGCCCTTGGCGGGCTCTGGAGGCATCCCCCAAGCGTCCCCTCCACAGCACAGAGGAGAGGCCACCATGATGCGCCCACGGGGACCTCAGTCTGGGGGCTGCCCGTGGCAGGCTCAGGCTTCTCGCTCTGCTCCCGCCCGGGGACCAGTGCCTGGCGGGTGTGGGAGGTGGACGGGGGCCCCGCCCATGAGCCCCAGCCCTGCTTCTTCCCACAGACCCTCGCTGGAGCACAGGGCCCTGCACGCACGAGGAGTGACAGGTGAACTCAGCCTGTTGGGCTTTTCTGGACGACGTCTGCGGGGAACGAACAGAGCCCTGAGTTCGAGTCCACCCAGAACCTGGAACGGGACCTTATTTGGAAAGACGGTCTCTGTGGATCCTGAGATGAAACCCTCCTGGATTTGGGGTGGCCCTAACGCAAGGACAGGTGTCCTCCGAAGAGGAAGAGGCCCCCAGCACGGAGGCCACGTGAAGAACAGGCACAGGTGGGAGGGTCGCGTGAAGGGGCCCGCGGAGCCCGGAGAGGGGGCGGTGGGCAGGACGCTGGCCTGGCGCCTCCCGGGAGCGCGGCCCGAGCTCCTGCAGGCCATCGGCGAGCCTCGCAGGCCCCACTCACCGCTGTCACTGTTGTCGTCCACCAGGATGACCTCCTTGAGGAGCCGCGAGGGCGTGCGGTTGACCACGCTGTGCACGGAGCGCAGGATGACGGAGAGGGCCTCGTTGACGAAGATGAAGACCACAGAGATCTGGGGCAGGTCGGCTGTGTGGGTCACCTGTCTGCACCTGCGGGAGACACGGTTCACGGGCACCGGTCAGCGCGGGGTGCCCCCACCTCGCCAGGTCTAAATCTCACACCCAAGGGCAAGGCCGCAAGCGGGGATGCCCGGCCTCCGGAAGACGTCCATCAGAAGGCGCGTGTGCAGCTCCGAGCCTCAGCCCTGCACCGGGGTGATGCTCTGCAGGGGTGCAAACGGCCGCTGAGTTGCTGCGGACGAGGGGTCTGCAGGGACAGTCTTGTAGGGGGTGAAGGTCACAGCCTCGGCCACACATAAGGACAGAGTAGCACAAGGGGGGCACGCACAGTTCTCCCCAGTGTCTTGTCTTGGAGGCTGGGGTGGAGTGGGGTCCCGGAGGTGGGGCGGGGTCCCGGG